TAATTTCAAGTACCTGGCATAGACTGGGAGAAATTGATGCTTTTAAATAATAACATCCCTTAAGTGTCCTCTTGAATTGTCACACAAGAGAAACCAAGCATATAAATGTCCACTTACCTATAATACACCTGAAAGATTTTTTTTCTCAACTTGGTAAGTAAAGAATGGTTTCAGCTATCTTTTATTCAGCACTGTGAAATAAATATTTAACTCCCATAATACTTGCTTCCTTTAAAAAATTAAAAATTAAAAGCCAAAAAGTGTAATTTGGAAACTAAACAAATAAATCATGAATTCGATAGTAATGAATCTAGAAAGTCTATTTTATACTCCATAATATTAATAAATATTATATCCCTTCAAATAAAGCAAATAAATCATAACTCCCTTGAATTATTTTCCTGGCAAGGAAACTTGAATAATCTGTTTGTGGGTAGGTAGAATCAAGTCATACTAATACTAAAGTTTTAAGTTATACAGAGTTAAATTTAGATATTAAAGTGTCTTAGTAATATTATTAGTTCTGATTATTGTGATATTTCCAAAGCTTGGCATTTAAAAATGATAGGATTACATGTGAAAACCACACTGTAAGGATGAAGATAGAATTTATTTCTGTAATTTGATAACTCAAAATTAAGTGAATATATTTCACCATGCATCTTTTCCTCCCAAATTTTGAAAAATGGTATTTCTATTAGTTGAGGACATCAATGGCTAGACATTGCAAAATCAAATGCTGTTTGCATAGGTGTTTAGAGAAGGTACCGAGTAACTGAAAGTAAATGTCCAATTTATAAGAAAAGCATCTTTACATTTATATACTGTTCAGGTCAGTACATTTATTTATTTTGTACCTAAATTATATATGTTGGTAAAATATTTCCTGTACTGTTGCTCGTGAATTCTTTCATGACCTGTTTCTGACTAGTATATAATATACTTTTGATATGGGTTTCTTATGGAATTTATTATTCTTCAGGTTTTAATCTTACACTTCCATAATCACTTTTAGCAAAGTATTAGGTAAGCAGCAAGTACTTCATAATATTTAATAGCATTAATAATATTTGCTGGTTCAGCAATTTTTTTAAGAGAATTCAGTTTCACTCCTGTTTCTTTTTGGTTGAAGTTGGATGAGTTCTAGGAATGTGAGGTCTATTAGTCTGTAACGACTTCATATATTTTATTTTCCATTTCATGTTTAAGTGTTATACATTCAGGTTTTGCACTGTCTTCTTTTAAAATTTTCAAAGCATAATGATAGTGGTAAAGAAAATTTTCATTATGATACAGACTAAATTAAAATTGGTTTCTGACAGCTTCACAAAATAACATGATTTTTCTCCATTTGTTCTCTACCATTATTTTTACAGTGATCTATATCTGTTTACCTGTATAAACACCCTTATTCTATCATCTCTTTATTCAATACCATGTTAGTGAATTAAAGGCAAGTCTTGGGTAACTTTATTCATTCATGTTATGTATCTTGAAACAATGAAAAATATGAAGCCTTTGTGTGTAGAGAGCCTGAGGTCACTGAAGAAACTTTTATGATTGAAAATTGTTTGACCTTATAGTATGAGCTCCTGTGTAAATCTCTCTACTTCTCAGCATTGGCATGATCATTTGTAAATGGAGGTGATTAAACTGTGTTTTTATAGCATCCATATGCTGAATTCTAAAGTTCAAGAATGGTACTTTTAAAGCATAAAGATGGGGAAAAGGTTTATAAACCTCTGCATTATGAATCAATTTTTTGCATGAATGTATATGTGGAACTTTTTATCCTGAAATATATTCAAAGGTTTTTCTGTGCAAAATTGTTCATAAGTGTCTTTTCTATTAACTATTATTATCCTTCACCTATGTTCTCACATTTCCAAGTCTAGTAAAAAAAAATATAACAATTAACTTCTTTTTGATCCTTCATTAAAGCTATGAAATTGTCTTCTTTGTTTTAAACTGTAAATCACCTCATCTTCTTAAAGTTATAAAAAAGATACCTACATTAAACATCTTCATTTTGTTTATTGAAATTATTCAAATATCTGTATTTTGTTATATATGACTACAGTATTGAATAACAGAACAAATGATCAATTAATTAAAATTGCATTTCACATCTCTTTTTATTGGTAATAATTTATTCTGACAAATATTGTTTATATTATACTGTTAGTGCTTGTCAGTATATAATAATGTATGTAAATTCCCACAGACATGCTGGAATTTTACATTCTTTATTTCATATCAAGGAAATAAGTTTAAAAAGTAATTCTTGGTATTGAGGTTTCTAATAACAAGATTCAGTTTTACTCATATTGACAAGTTCTGATCTTCATAGTAATTAGCCCATTTATGAGACTGTCTTCCTGTTACCATGCTGTAAAAGAAATAACTGTATAATGAAGAGTAAAAATTTAATTTCAAAGGTTTGATAACTAATGTCCTATGAATATTATTATACAATGCTTACTAGTTATAATAGCTTTATATATTATATCTACAAATAATCATACTACAACTCTCCTATTAGTATATAAATTGTAATTGGGAGTACATGCAAGTTTGCCAAACATGAATTTTATCATTAATGAGTTAAAATATTAGGTGCCCTTCATTAATTAAAAACACAAATTCTTGAAAACAACAGCAAACATTTAAATATGGGAGATTCCCAACTTCACTTATAATTTTAAAAAATGCAGATTAAAATCTACAGTAAAATACCAATTTGTATCATCAGATTGACAGTTCTATGTGGTATTATACAATAATGTCTATATTAGTAATAAACAAGAAATATCTTAAATTTCTATTGATAGAGCCTAGATGAATAAACTATAATACATTTATAAAGTAGATTCCATGCAAGTATTAGAAAGAGCAATGTAGGTTTTTGTGTACTAATATGGAAAACATTACACAGATACTGTTAAAGAAGGCAAAGTTTAGATCAGGTGAATTGTACATTCCAATTTGTGTAAAAAGAGAGGCTATATATACACCCCCAACACACGCATGCACACATAAGCACTTTAGCATTAGAAAATAAAGGTAGTGGTTGCTTCTGAGAGCAGAACTGAGGGGCAGTGAACATTCTGTATCCTTTATGTTGATTAATTTTTTGTTATTATGTTCATGGCTTCTTTAAACATATAAAACGAGTTTAAATAAAAAAAATTCTTAATTTAGTGAAACAGCTTAGTGGACACTGCCTTAACACCTTCTAGATGCCACAGATTTCTTGAGCATGTCAGGGATATTAAGATGCATGAAATTTTGTTCCTACTCTTCTCAAAAACCAATAAAGCAGTACTGATTTGTAAACAGGGTAAAACTCAGTGTAGTACTCTATTAGAATGGGGCCTGGATGACTCTGCATCCCTTCATAGATCTTACAGAGCAGTTTACATACTGTAAGTTAATTGATCCTCCTGTAAACCTTATGGAATAGAGCACTGTATGTCCACAGAAAAATAATAGTGAAGCCTATTTTCTATATTTACTCATTTTAGGCTCACATCAGTCCAAGAAAGTGGGTACCATTGCAGCCCCATTGTAGAGAGGACGTGGAGAACTTGAGTATCTTACAGAAAGGTAACCCTACTTGTAGTGAGTGCCAGAGCTAGTATTCAGATTTAGGCAGTGTGGTTAAAGGATCCTCACTATTAATAGCTAAACTATTCTGCTCAAACTTTATTTTGTAATTTCAGTTCATTTCCACTTGCCAATGAGAGACATAAGATTCAGAGGTTAAATAATTAGTTTGAGATGGTATCGCTAGTAAATGTCAAAGCCAGTCCTAGAGCCATGGTCTCCTGACTACACCCAGTTAGTGGTCTCATTGTACCACACTGCCTCTAGTTCACAGGGGTTCTAAGGAGCAGAGCAGAGGAAGGTACATTTCAATAGCACTACCTGTTATAAGCACTAATAGCAAATCACAGAATGTGTAGTTTCTCTAATTAAACAACTGGAGTAAAAACAACTTACTTCCTTTTTGTGAAATATTTACTCTATTCAACTAGTACCAAATGATTGGTTTTGCTCAGTAACTTTGATATGATTTCTTAAGAAATTTTTAAGATCGCTGGCTAAAAAAGTGATACAGCTTGCTTCTGCTTTGGGAAAAGACTGTCAGCAAATGAGAATGAGGGCATTACTAACAAAATTCCAAGTTTTCTGTGGGATGAGTCAGAAGCAGCAAACAGAAGGCATTGAATTTCTTCACTGTCCCAAGTGCGTGCATGCTATGCCATTCTTGTCAGTGCTTTTGGTGTACACGAAGTTGGAATACTTTGATTTGCAAACTCATGTGCTCCATAGAGAACTTCTTTTTTCAATATGGGAAAAAAAGCAGAGTGGTTTAAGAGCATGTGAGGTCTGTGTACCCTGCCCTACATTTATATAGCTCTTTACTGAATGTATGTGTTTAGTCTGATTTTAGGATATTTGCCTTGACAGTGCACCTTTATATGTCTAAGACATATGAATTAAGATCTCAAGTTGTTTCTCATGCTCAGTTCAGAAGCACGTTTACACAGGTACCCTGATGTGAAACAGAGAATGTGAAGTATATGTAGAAGGACTGTTAAATTAAGAGGAGGCATGGCTCAGCGGGTAAAGCAATGTCTAATCTTGTCTCTTCCATGGTCCTACCTCAGTCTTGGTAGCCTTAGGGACAAACTCAAAAGCCAACTCCAGAATTATTTAAAGACTTGCTTAAAAAGTATGCTACTGAGTTGAAGAAATAAATGTGTGTGGACATAAAGTGTCATTCTGTTTACCTAGAACTTTCTTGAGCCATCATCACTTTCATGCCAAAGCTTCAATAAAATATCATAAAGCACCCATATATTTTAACATTGCATTAGTGATGGCATACATAGCATTTCCAACCATGTTAATACAGTAGCAGTGGATGGAAGACAGATGTAGGTGATAACACATAACATGCATTTAAATTTTTTTTTCTTCTTTTTAAATTACAGCAAATTCAGTAAAGCTAGAAATGCAGAGTGATGAAGAGTGTGACAGGAAACCCCTGAGCCGTGAAGATGAGATCAGGGGCCGTGATGAGGGCAGCAGCCTAGAAGAACCCCTAATTGAGAGCAGTGAGCTGGCTGACAACAGGAAAGTCCAGGAGCTTCAAGGCGAGGGAGGAATCCGGCTTCCGAATGGTAAACTGAAATGTGACGTCTGTGGCATGGTTTGCATTGGGCCCAATGTGCTTATGGTACATAAAAGGAGTCACACTGGTAAGCAGCTGAAAGAATAACCTGATGACTGCCTGTGACATCTGATGTTGATATTACCTGACATCTATTCTCTTTCCTTTTCATTCAGGGGTGGCAATGGTGAGACTACCTTTTCAGAATTCTGCTAGTATTGGATTGCTGAAAAGCAGAGAGTAGCCTGGGTCTTGACTTCCAGCCTTCAAATCTGAATAGCATGTCAGAAAAGAAGTTTGGGATTCAGTTTCCACAATTCTTAATATAGCAATAATATGATAAGGGTTCAAAAGGTATAGGAGAACTGTGTAACTTAATCTTTTTGTATTTCTATACATATTTTACCATACCCATGGCAGGTAATATAGTTTGCTAGCTAAGAGTTTATGCTATAAAATGGTACTCATGCATTTATGTAGGGATGGATCATTTTCAACTTATCTAGTTAACTTATTGGACTGCAATTTCCAATCAATCTTTGCCTACTATGGGTTTCTGTATTAGGCAGATACTTTCCTAGCTCAAGGATGTTACCATCTTCCTGTAATTTTTTACTGTAACTCCTGCAAGGAGATATGTAGGTTGGAACATAACGAAGGATGGCAGGTGTGCTGGTAGGAATGTGTAATCATAGAATAGAGTGAGAAAAAGAGGCCTTCAATTAATTTAACCTATACTTTCAGGCATTTGAGTAATGTTAAAAAAAAACTAAATGTGGAGAAGGCCTTATTTGAATCCCTTCAAATCCTTTGGCAGAATGAAGTTTTTTTTAATTTTAAAAAGCCAGAAATGAGATTGTGGTAAGAAAGGCATATCACTGACTCTTAAAAAAAAAGTTCCAAGTTCATATGAAAACAGATTTAAAGGTTATTGATAGCTTTAAATATAATGCATAATGGTATTATATAGCAAAATAGTCACTTGTTCTCTCAAGTCTTAAAGTATGATAGAAAGGTAAATCACAATAAAGAAATTGAATTAAATTTAAAAATTTACTTCTGGATAACCAATTTAAGTAGCTTAAAACATGAGAGATACCAGGCACATTGAGTCTTTTTAGTCTAAACCTCTCATTTACACATGAACAAGCTCAAGCCCCAGAAAAGTCATTTGTCCATTATCCTCCCCATAATTAAGGGCATTGAGAGGCTAGAACCAAGGTGTTTCCTGATCCTGACGCCCAGATTTGTTTTCTTCAAATATACTATGCTTGGTATATCAATATGCCAGCATTTTGTGATAAGTTATGACAAAAGGCTGATATCCTAAAAATTATAGTAAGAAGCTACACATTAAAATCAGTGTTACCAGATAATAATTGAAATCATCAGCTTTAGAGTCTATAATATACCTTTATTCCAACCATAGTTACATTTTTACTTTTTGTTTTATTTTGAATTCCATTTTAAATAGTACATTTTTAGAACATTTATTGGTGCAAATGGATTTTTTAAATTTTTTTTAATTTTTAAAGATACCACATGGAAAAGTTAAAAGATCAAGTTTGGTATATTTGATAAGAGAAGAAGGAAAGACTGTAAACTAATGAGTCTACTTTTCTTCTGTGCTCACAGTTATTCTAGCTGCAGTTCTAAGATTTCCACAAAGTTATATAAATATATTCATTTTCTCAGTGTGATTACATTGGGAAAGATAACACTCATTCAAATGTGTAACTTCTTGCACGTAGCAACATACAAACTAAACAAAATTAATCTAATGACTTTCAGTTGAATTGCATATAGTGTTCATTTTGAGGCTCAAAGGTATACTAAAAACATTTTGTTAAGATTTTTAACACAGCTTTTATGGTCTGAGTTATGAAAATTCAAAGAACCTGATATGCTGTCTTGAAAATTTAGGTTAATCAATGGTTCACCATATCTGCAATGATTGCTCATGAAGATTGTTGGTTTGTAAACACTAATACATACCTACTTTACTCTACTTGATATTTAGTTCCACAGTAGAGTTGAATTATTTTGATTCTGAAAATCATCTGATTGACATGAAAAATGTTTCTAAGCAGTTGTACATATTAACACAAGTCCTGTGAATATGAGATTCACTCAACTAGTAAAGGCAAGGAGAATGGACTAAACAGTCATTTAAAATAATCTTACAACTCTGAACTTCTATTGTTAACATATTTATTGGAGTACTGTAAAAATTATTACTTTCCTCCGATCTGGAAGGTTTTTGTTAAAGTTAATAGCCATTCATAGATGAGCTTGGGATACCTACCATACATCATTGTGGACCTTGAAATTGTGATATATCTTTAACTTAGCTATTTTTATATATATTTCTGATGATCCAGTTTATACATCTGAGGGGTCAGGATGTTATTGACTCCATTTTAGTACTCTTTGAGAATAGGAAGTCTATTGGTGCTTCTTTAATTTAAACTAGATTGAAATGAGTGTAGTCAGAATTCAGTGATTAACCAAATGTTTTCTCCTTAATACCATAGGCTACTGTTTTCAGTTTAGCACTTCTGCCTCTCATCAATTATTAATAGCTAATATGAAAGGCACTTCCTTAAACACTTAAATAGCCTTTGGGAAACATAAGTTTGTGTATTTTTAGCTCATAGATTATCTAATATAAAATTAATAGTGAAAAAAGATACACAACCACCCAATTCATTACAATGACATGGAGTATCAGATCTAATTCACTTCTTCTTTCTCTTTCATGCTCTACTAAAGTGCCAATCCCAGTGTCTTATTAATGGCTTGGTGTTATTTCTTTGGTATTGATACTTTAGTAGATAATCAGGTAATATTGTCATCGGATACTCCAGGCACTCTTCACTGCAAATTTAGAGAGAAATAAAGAAGTAGGTGTAGTAAATCAATTCATGTTTAAACACTAATGTGAACATTATAAATACAGAATACTCTTAATTTTGCCCCTCTTGGGCAAAATTACTGTCATCTTTGTAACTTTAAGTTTTCAGCACAAAAATTGTAAATTGCAGCTTTATTCTCTTGTTCCAGGGCCCTCCCTGCAGGTGCCTGGCAATTTTCTATTTGTAGGGGGTTGTTCCATCAGACACAGGAACACCCTCTCTCTTGGACTCGCCAAAGCAAATAGATGCATGTATACTCGCATTTCAATTGAATATTGAAACGCAGATCTAGAAATATGTTCTTATGAAAGTACACAAACTATTGAAATATAATTTGTTCCATAAAGGAATAGGTAGCTTTAACTAGTGAATAACTAGAGAAGGTCCTAGAGTAGATGAGTAGATTATGAAACAATAGATTAAGACTGAAAATGGAGGGTAGCATAGCTACATTTTATTTGTTTTGAATCCAGAGTTGTTAATCCAGACTTTTGTGCCTATCCACAAGTTAGTTTATCACAGATACAACATCCTACCGGATAATTTTGAATGGGATTATTCTATATGTCACTACGTATTTAGTAAATTTGTGGTGTTTCCCTGAAATTTACTTTTATTTACATCTGAAGAAGAATATGGTTAATATATTTTCCAGATAAGCATAAACTAATTAGAAAACCATTTGATTCAGTCTATTTATTAAAGAAATAACACATTATTAAAAAACTAATTGAGGTGTGTTGTTTCAAGTTAGGTAGAAAATACAAGTAGTTAACTGAACCTTTTATTAATTATCAGATCATTTTACACATACCTCTTAATGCATAGGCCTGGAAAATACCAAAACATTGGATAAAAAGATTGCTCATATTTTACAGGGATGGCTTTTTAGAAAAATTAGTCAATCCACTTACTTTTGATTTGTTATTAAACAGATGTGGACATCACTCCTCTATTTGTATTATTTCTAATATATAATGACATATACTAAAAAATTTCCTGAATTAATCTCTGTTGTCATCCTTGTCTCCAACAGTAGTGTTTGGAGGGCTTTCACTGTAATTTCAAGTAAATTTAGTGTGGAACACACACTTGCACACAAACAGGGTTCTTGAAATAATTATCATTTTAGATAATCAAGACATTAAGAGTACTTAAACATATTCGAACTCCAAATGAGCAAAGCCATAAAATTACTATCCAAAAGTTAAAAAAACAGTAAGGATGTAATTTATGTAAAGCTTTATCTGATTGAAATCAGCGTGTGTTATTGTCATTGCCCCTTTCCTCTTATCAAAAATGGGAGCATGCAGAAGATGACTGGTTAGCCAGAGACCGGTAAGATTCCTCAAGGGAGGAACAACCTAAGATAGGCACAGTCACAGGGCGGCCATCAGGTGAGAAATTGGGGATCAACAGTGGTGAGGCTTAGAACCTCACGCCCCCTGTTTTGAGAGAAATCTGCATCCGTGGATGTTTTAAGGTCCTTGTCTAGCTTGGATTAACACATAGTCTACAGGCACACACCTGATCATCTACAATTGCTCTCTTACAACACTAAACTATGTGTTCTACCTTTATCTTGCATCTACCTACCACTTCAGCATTTTATTAAAAATAATAATAATAATAATAATAAAGGGAGAAATGTGGGATCCACATATAAATCAAGTATAAAAATCAAACGAATATTCATATCTGACCTGATTGTTTATAATTCATAATGCGTGATCAAAACCGAAAGTTTCTGTGATGAATGCCCTTGTACTGTTCACTATGTAAGAACTTATTCACTATGTAAGAATTCGTTCACCATGTAAGAACTTGTTCGTTATGCTTCAGAAGATTGGAGACTGACGAGAATTAGGCTTGAGATGGATTAATGATTGTGCATTGAGCATTGACCCCCCTATACAGAATTTTATTGTTGTTAACAACCATTTGATCAATAAATATGAGAGATGCCCTCTCAAAAAAAAAAAATGGGAGCATGACTGGTTACCTTCATCTTGCCTCTACTTCCCATGACTATGGAACATATTTAGCAAATGCCTCCACGCTGACATGGTCAGCAACATAGCACTATTTCCCAACATACCTAAACCCCATTAAGTGTGGTCATACAATTTCAGAAGTAATTCTTACTAAGAAAAAAATTGGAAGATATCTGGTTACTTTGTATATGTAAAATCTAAATTACCCAATCACGAGTCTTATAAAACTCAATTAAATGAATTTAAAAATTCTCTTTAAACAGGGTTACTATTTTTTGTTTTTAGGTTAGCATTGTTTTGAATGACAAGTTCAATACTCCTGGGATTTTTAAATATTTAAATTGTGCCAGGCTTAATGAAAATCAAAGTTAGCATGCTTCAGGAGTATTTTCCAAAGGAAATGTGATTTCAAATGTTTTGTTCATCAAGCTAATTTAATTCATCTTAATGTTATTTCATAGTAATTTGTTACTTGCCTGAGAAGGCCGTCATAGAGAGATTTCAAAAATAAAATGAAACATTTGAAGTGGAGAGTATAATTTCTATTTACTATTTTCCTGCCGTTTAAAAAGTGAGTTTCATGAAGAAAGTGCCTTCTTATTCCTTTTTATTACTAATTCTAATGACAAGGGTGGAGAGTAGAAAATTCTGATTTAAAAGAGTTATGGACTACTTTTTCATTGAACAAATGCTAAAGAATTAAGTTGTGTGTGTGTAAAATAAAAAGTTACTAAAATTAGGTTTATTTTAAAACTGATTACTTTGAAGACTTCATATGAGAGGTTGTAGGTAAAGTATTCCTATTTAAGCCATATTTTTGTTGATTTAATTTGCTTGTTTTACCAAATGAATCAACCAAGTTAAATAAGATAAAATTTAAGGTAACTTTAACATGATAGATAGCTTTTTTTGAACTAATACATCAATGTGTATCACCTTTTATAAACTTAGCTTATAAGATCTCCACATTTCTTAAGAAAAAACGTTAACCCTTGATGCACGCACATACAGGTTACACTTTTTTGGTATGTCTCATTCAGGTTTAAAAGGAACAAGTACTACAGAATTCAAGATATGCCTGATCTATCAATTTTTCAGTTTCTTTAGGTTTTATAACAAATCTATATGATAGAATGTACAGTGGCAACTGCCAGAATTTACCTACAATTTATCTTCTTTATGTCTCCTAACTTAAATAAAAAGAATCATTGAGTTTGCTTTATTTTAAAGGCCACCCAAAATAGTGGTTTCATTATTCACCATTATTATGAATGCTTCAATTAAAGATATGAAACATGATAATTCAGTTTAAATTTTTTAAAACTGAAAATTATGATCATTGTCTTAACTCAATACAGAAATGGTCCAGTTAAACCAAAAGGAAATTGTTTTTTTGATTTTATTTTTATTCTGAACTTTTGAACTTTAACATGATATATTTGTACTACTTACATATTTATATATTAATTTATAATCTATTTCATCTCTGTCTTTAGAGGTAGATAAGCTAAAATAAATTGTCTTTTCTTCATGTTTTGATTTATGTTATCAGTTTGACCCTATCTGCCAATTTTATTGTTTCATCAACTCCATGTTTTTATGTTCCGTGATATTGGTGAAAAGTAGTTGATGGCAACAGACTAAACTGATAATTGTGGCTTAAACAACTTTTTAGCAGTAATAGGAAGAAAGAATTCCTATCAAACAACAAAAAGAGAATATACAGGAAATGTCTGTATGAATAATATTCTTTGGACGTTTCCCTGATTATATCAGGAAATTTTGCCAAAGGTTTCACTGTTTGTGACTAGGAGAATCAAAACACCTGGGTTATATTTGGTGATGTTCTGGGAATGAGCTTTGAAGCCTGGTTCATTCATTGAACCTCTTTGGTTCCCTGATAAGAAAATTATCAGCTAAATGAGAGAGTTAAACAAAAGGTCCCTTCCAACTCCAACTCAAAATTTCTATGATTTTTAAAGAGACACTATGGTACCAAAAATAGAACAGGATTTTATGTCCCATCTGCCCAAGATTCAGGTATCAGCTCCAGTACTTATCAGCTCTGTAGCTATATAATCAGATACTTTGATACTTAAACTTCAGTTTCTTCATTTGTAAACTGAAATTATTGATGCCTAATTAGTTATGTCATTATAAGGATTGAAATATTCTATGTAAAGCAACCAGCAGAGTCAGTAAAGTGATGGCACCTAGTTGTTCGATCAGTGGTCAATGCTATTATTGTTATGTCTTTTGAGTCAATGACAGGAATCCTGTAAAATTCATATGAACAGAGGAAACTGACACTTGACCTTAAGTTTAAAACTTTGGTATTAGCAAAGCAAATTACTAGGAAGATACAGGTTTGGAAGACTTAGGAGGAAGATAAACGTTCTCAGCAGGAAACTGGGTCTAGTTAACAGTAAGGCAGATTAGTCACTTGCCCTTTGACCTACTTGATCTTTTCCACCTCTATTCATTTCTGCAGGTGAACGTCCCTTCCACTGCAACCAGTGTGGAGCTTCTTTTACTCAGAAGGGCAACCTTCTGAGACATATAAAGTTACACTCTGGAGAGAAGCCGTTCAAATGTCCTTTTTGTAGCTATGCCTGTAGAAGAAGGGACGCCCTCACAGGACACCTCAGGACCCACTCTGGTAAGTGTTCCCAACTATTAAAATAGGAGAATTCAGGAGAGTGCTATAGAATAATACAAAAAGTAACATAGGTTTGCTGTATAGTTAGGAATGAACTTGATAATATTTGTGTACACTGAATCACCGATACACCTTGCAGGATGGATATGGCCCTTCTTTTTTAGACTTCTAGACTTGACAGAAAGGAACACCGTCAGTTGATGAGTCTCTTATTTCAAGCTGTTGGAGTAAGGAAGCATCTGTTATATACATTTTCTATGATTTTTCCGAATTGTATAATTATTAATGCAGTAGTTGTGGCTAATCTAGGATAATGAAAAATATAGTAAAATATCATGGTCACATTCTAATGTTACCATGGAAGAGATGAAAGCCATATTTTTTGACTGATCCAGTGCCCAGGTTGGGACCTCAGTGGAAAATCAAATACTGCTAGTTTTAAACTTGAAGATGTTATGCTTTTTAGAAAACCAGCTTGTTAGAGTATTACATTTAATTTTAGCTATCCTTGTTTCTTTAACTCTCAAACTATAGTCATTCAATGTTCTCTGAAACTTTCCTCTGCTTTCATAAGTCATCATTAAAAAATTTAGAATAAGTTTGATTTTTTAAATGCCAGAATATAGTGCATGAAAGAGAAAGAATGATTAGAAATTGGAATGAATCTCATTCTACTTTTAACATGAATTGCCATAACCAAAAAGTTAAAGGTGGGAAATTAATGTAAAATACTCTCAAGCCAGTTTTATGTGCTCTTTCTGTCTATAATGACATTAAAATTTAATTTTAATATGAAGATATGATGAAAGTAGTAGTTTCATCTACACTGACAAATTGTGTTAGAGATTGCTCTGGGTTGTGAGGTAATGCTTACATTATCTTTCTTTATATTTTTCTTGTTAATCCTGAAGGCTTTACTTAGTTTTTTAACATGAATGTGAAATGTACAAAACTATTTTAGACATTAACTCCTGAATTTGGGACAGTTACAGAAAAATGAAATTAATGCAAGCATTAAAACAAAATATTTTAAGTACATATATTTACTTTCCTCCCTGAGTGAAATAATTAACTTATTTCCAACTATGACATTCATATTTCACTTTAAATTGTGCTATGAAAATTATATCTTAAAGTAGTAGAGTTTTATTATAAAATTATTCTTTATTGACACATGTTTTTAAGACACTTATTTCCTGTAGCTACTCATGTACTCTGGCTTATTAAAGTATTATTGAGTTGACCAAAGATTATATAAAACATAGGTTTTCGTGACTATATGTTACATGAAGTTGAGGCAAAAATATACCTTTAAACATCTATTTCGTTCTGTACAAAATTGTGCTGCCTTTAATGTCACAGTTTAGTGGGCGTGTTACTTTACATCTGGGATCGCCAATATCCCTCTTAGAAGTTTCAGTGCCTGGTGACATCTCTGAAAGGCATTCGATATTCATCTCCATTTCTGTTTCCTTGGTCTCTTTTTTGTTCTTTTTATCAGATCTATCCATGTGCATGGTGTCTAAGAAGTCAAGACACCTAGGTTTTTGTTTAGATTGAGCAGTGCAACTGCAATCAGCTTCTTTATGCAAATTAGGCCCGTCTAGGGGCTTCTGATTGGTAGCCAATGAAGTGAGGGGAGGGAGTGATGTCACCCAAAAAATAGGCCACTCCCACTGGCTTTGGCCAGGCTAGACATTTGACATCATTTACATGGCTCTGTGTAATTATAACATTTGTGTGTATAAAGTGAAGCTATTTCTGTGAAATTGTATATACATTTTATAAACAAATATATTGCTACTTTAAGGTTCAAAAAAAAGGAAAAGACACAATTCCTGCAAATGGCTATCATGCTGATTTTGCAATTTGGTATACCCAGTCATGATTTTTGCAGATATATAAGGAGTTAGCATACTCAGATTGCCCAATTAAAGAGAATTTAATGGAGTGGTAAGAGAGAGAGAGAGAGAGGGGTGTCATCCAGTTACTGCATCATCAAGGGGTGATATCAATTTATCCATATTCCAACTGGAATCTAAAATTTTATCTGTCACCAATGTTTTTTCATAGTAGATAGATATCATTCTTCTCTAATTAGTGAGAAAGCTCAAAGTGATTATTGTAGCTTTCTTCTTCCATTACCAATTTCATCTTCCCCTAATTCCTTTTAGCATCTAAGCTGGACAGGGTTCTTTATCTGATCGGTGACTCAAACCTTAATTCCTACAAGGTCTGAGTAATTTGGTGGAACTTCTTTCCTTGGACTATTGCAGTCTTTCAATCACCAGGGTTTTGGGCAAGCTTTTAAGGATCTGGCCCAGTGAATCTCCTGAGTTCCAAACGTAGTTGTTCTTGTCCCTACCATAGAGCAAAACCCAAAATCATTTTGGTAATCTGGAAAAATTGCCAACCAATAGCCCACTTCTCTCCCTTTTGTTAAGTAGCTTGAGATTTGCCAAATAGCCAGGGAGTAGTAGTCTTTGCTTCCAATACAACAGTACCAGAATTCTGATCCCTGGTGAAATCCCTTAGGCACTGAGATGTCCAAAACCACCAATCCTAAAATATTATCACAGAAAGCAAAAAATCCTTTATATGGGTTAATTATTTGTACTGTGGCCATTCCTACTTTAATCACTTTGTTCTCAGACTGATGCATTCAGGCTATGGAAGAGATGGCTTTAGGCATATATCGTATCTCATACAATAAACCCAAACATCTCCCAGCTCCCAGTCATATATGAACCACTTCCTAGAAGGTCATTTTACCACTTGATTTAGCTAGCTGATTCTGGATGGTGGGAAATGAGGTATGACCAATATAATCTATAGGTTTGAGCCCATTGCTACATTTCCTTTGCTATAAAATGAGTTTTCTGGTTGCAGGCAATACTGTGATAATTGGTAAGGCATTCTGTTAAGTTCATATATAGAGGAGCTTGCAAAGCTAGTGAAGCAAGGGGAAATAAATCTATATCCTAAATATCTGTAAATCTATACCCTGAATATCTATTAATGCAATGAGGATAAATTTCTGCCTCCTTCATGTTGGAAGAAATGCAGTATAACCAGCCTGCCACCAGTTGACTGGTTGATTCCCCAAGGGAATTGTGCATTGGAGTCTCAGCATTGGAAATTGTGAACTCAGCAATGGTGGTAGTTAAATCAATCATAGACAGAGGGTAGTTGATGTTGAAGCCATACATGGTTTCCATCCCTGCTCCCATTGTCACTCTGTACAGGGATCCCTTGAGCAAGCACCAGAGTAACTGGGTAAAGATTCTTACATTCATAAAATAGATTGAGTTATTTGGGTCACCCATCAGATAATCTTACCCAGATTACTGAGAGCCTTCTCCACAGAGGATACCCTCCAAAGGTAGGACATCATGTTGTAACACATTGTACCAATTCTGAGAGGTACATCCACATAATTCTCTCCCAGACATCTGTCACCAATCTTCCAGTCTTTTAATTTCAGGTCCTCAATCATATGGCTATGCCATGTATCATTACTTCAGCTATCGCTCCTTCCATGCAAAGTGTATGATCTGAAAATCTGTCTGCTTGGGGGAATATCCTTTTACTACTGTATTTCAGGGCCAGCCCCCCTTCAGTAACACAGTAGTCACAGCTGGTACCAAATACCACGCAATCCACTTACAAACTAGGTCCACACGGGTTTCATCCTCCATTAACTGGTCATTGAGAACACCCCAAGAGGCCATCAGTGTGGACTGAAGGAGGGACTGTGAAGCAGTAGTAGCAGGTATTAGGGACGCCGAGCTACTTGCTGTTGAAATATATACCTAGGTTCCTAAGCCTGCTCATCTCACTTTCAGTTAACAATGAAATGCTATTCGTGTATTTGATGATACGTTGACTCAGAAAACACCTAGTTCATTTTGTGAAATTTGGGCCACATGATCATTTTTAGTGTCATAGCTCAATACTCATTTTTAAACGCAGTCCAATAGCAAGTTAGAAGCAGTTTTTCAAATGGAGAATAGTTACTGGTAGATCACATGTCTTTACTCCAAAACCGTTAAGGATCAGCACACTGATGCTTTATTGACAGAGACGTCATGCATCATCTCTTCTGCCACACACATTTCCAAAATTCATGGCATTGCTGGATCAAGTGAAAGGTATAAGGCAACTTTCATCATAGTAGAAGTATGCTGCAGATCCGTTTCTTGTCCCAGCCTCCTCAACACTGGCTGCCTTGTGGATCACCTAGTACATGCATCTGAACAGCATATCCAGATCTTGCTGGTATATTATTAATTGGTCATTTAGAACTGCCCCATGGTGGTATATCTTGCTTCCAAAATCAAAAGAAGTCCCCACATTTTGCTGCTACTTCATGATGAAAGCTGTAAGGTGCAGCAGTTTGTTATTTCCTCTAGGGGATCTATTTCAACATGTCCAGACCACTAGTCCCATAACATTTAGCCAATGTTGTCTCTAAACTTTTCATAGAGATTATCTCCTATCATTTAGTATATATCTTACCGAGACATTGTAAAAAGTTTACAACTTCCTGCTCACCATGTCCAGTCAGTATAGTACCATGAATGTAATGTTCCAGCTTGATGTTCTGTGGGATGTCAAGATGAACAAGATTTCTTTGGACTACATTATGACAAAGAAAGGAGAGTTGACCTAGCCTTAAGGTAAGATAGTGAAAGTATGCTGTCCCTGCAGTGTGACAGCAAACTGCTTCTGATTATCTTTGTTGATAAGGACTTATTTTGAAAAGAAGTTGTTAAGTCAACAGCTCCATACCTAGTGTGAGGGACTATGTTAATATGTGCCAGTAAGATACTATAGCTAGAACTGCACCTGCATTTGGCATTATGATATGATTAAGTCTGCATTCATCCACAGAACCATTTAGGTCTTGCATTAACCTAGGGAACAGTATAAATGAATATGTAGTAGGAATCATCATCCCAACATCTTTTAGTTTTAGTTCACTATCTTGGGAGAGGTGG